TATATTGTACACGTCTTTATATAGCGTGCTGGTCTTTCTGTTTGCCGAGGTACCAGGTGGCCTAGGCAATGGTAGCCATTATACACATTCAGATCCAATTATTTTGTATTTTCATTATTATTTTACCATTGATCTAGTACACTGTGATAAGCTGCGAGACTTTGCGTCGCGTCACATTGTTCAGCGTAGACTGTAGTGACAACCTAAATTTTATCAATAAGCATTACAGTGTACCCATTTTATCATTTTGTATTATGGTGTACATATACTCTTCGATGCATAGCATACTAATGGTGAAATGCTAGCGAGCCCCTAATACTGCGTGACAGTATGTTCTCTATTCACACGCTACTACTGTGTGACAATATGCACTGTCGTGAATCAAATCCATTGTTGACTGTGATATTCTGTATGTTTAGGCGCTACTGACAATGTGTGTACTGATTAGCAATTATACGTGTGGTTACAGCCATTGTTTGGTAATTAGCAATTTTACGTGTGGTTACAGCCATTGTTTGGTAATTAGCAATTGTATGTGTGGTTATAGCCATTGTTTGGTAATTAGCAATTGCATGTGTGGTTATAGCCATTGTTTGGTCATTCCCACTGCACTGTTCATATACCACCATGTTTATATGTACGTATATACCTGCTACCGCATATTTATACTACTTTCCAACACAAAACAGATACCGGCTAACACTGGCACAACGTCCGCTGACGACGCCGAGTATATGTCGCCCGAGTGCACAGATTTGCGACAAATGGAGAATCTCGAGAGAGTGTACAAGGAGATCAAGGATCAAGATCCTTCAACTCATCGCACTTATGAAGTTGTGGCTGAGTACGTGTATTTTACTATTTTGCGAAACAGTTCAATCTCTGGCATCAATATTGTGTGTTGGTATCCATTTATGTATATGCGCTAGCTACTACCACGCGGGGTTGAACATGAGCGAGTCTATCGGTTACATGATATGTAGTGCTGTCGTGTCAATCGCGTCTGTATGGGCGAGAGTCGCCATTTCTAACGAACTTGTGAATGGCTTCTGCTAAATTTGGTACCTTTTTATCTGACACATATATCTATATCTATATATCTATATATATATATATATATATGTATATGTATGTATACGTATATATATATATGTCTGTGTCTGTGTATGTGTATCTATGTGCGCGCGCGTGTGTGTGTGTGTCTGTGTGTGTTAGTCTACGTTACAAGGGCTATACATGCATGTGTATTAACCTCCATGTTCCTCATCCATGAAATAACTACAGGTACTATCTCATGAACAGCCAACGTGCCACTGAGATCCAGCGCAGTCTGCAGAAGCTATACATGAACGTGCACTTCCCGGTAGTGTACACACTTCTCTTCACCGATTGGTTGTTTACCAACGATTTCTCACGGCATATAGAACCTGTTCGACCGGCGAATATCACCACTAAGTCGTACAATGTGTGGATCAAGGGCGCTAACAGTCTGTTCAAGTGGGATCTGCAACACGGAACCTTCTTCTTCTCGGGGTTGTTTGACTTCGCATGTAATGTGTGTGTTTGCCGGAACGCGGCGTCGTTCGAGTGGTCTGTGCTTGAGGATAGGTGAGTTTCCCATATCCTGGTCGTATCAGTGCTGAGATGCATATATATAAATATTATATA